TGAATATTTGGGTTGAAGTGTTCTGGAACAGTGTTGTAAATACAACTTAACCACTGATTTCTAGTTGTGTCCTCTTTTGGAAGGCCAAACAAAGTAGTTTCGCTTTCACAACGAAACACACAGCGTCTTTATGACATGGCGGCAGCAACAATACTACAGCGAGAATAAAAGTTACGCCTTCTTTCTTTGCGTGAACATTTGGGCGGCATTATGCAAATCTTCCCACATCGTGACGTAGACATGTGGGGGCGTGTTAGAATGAGCCATTTTAGGTAGGCGTGGTTGACTCTTAACTTTTATAAAGAATATCTCTTTGGATTTCTTGTATCACTTCAAAGAAAAAGGAAAAATTGAAATCGCATCATATGACCCCTTTAAATAAATGAAATGATACTCTAAAGAAGAAACTAAAACTACCAGCAGATGGCGGTAGATGTCTTTATGAGTCGATTCGTTCAAACAGCTGATTCAATCTCATTAAACGGCTCTGTCTATAGCTGTGTCCCAAAGTTAAGTGCACACACTTCGAAGGGCATGGATTTCGAAGGCCACACCTCCGAAGTGCACGAAGGACCCTCCAAAGTGCATGAAGGACGCTCTGCCTTTGCAGGATTTCCTAATTGCAACACCAGAGGTTCCCGATTAGCGCTGTCGCATAGCAACGGTGCGAGAGGAGAGCTGACGAGAGGACAATCCTGCCAGGATAGGTGGAGCCAAAATTGCTCATGTTTGTTTTTGTGTTTTACGTCATAATGGAGATGGTGATGTTCCTCAGGTTTAGCCAAGACCGAGGCCAGGTAAGTTACACTGGTTTGCTGCGTCCTTTGTCGGATTACAACTTTAAATGCAGGAATTGGCTTGGAGCTTACTTGAATAATGTAATGATAGCGCGGTAAAGTTAGTTTTAGGTTTGATATTCGCCTAGGCTGCTTTAGGGACCGTCTGCAAATTTACCTCTCAGTACAAAACGAAGTCCAATAATTAATGCAAATTATGTTTACAACGCCTTAGTAAATGCCTTGTGGGCAAACTGACAGAAAATATTTAACCAATATGTCGCCATACACAATATTCCCCTTACTGTATGTACAGTACACAACTATTTTCTTTA